CTCCTCCTCCTCCTCCTCCTCCTTGACATCAAAAACATCTGGACATGCCTTCTCCTCCTCCTCCTCCTCCTCAAAAACGACAGGAGGAGGAGGAGGAGAAGAGGACGACGTGGTGGTGGTGGTGGAGGAGGAGGAGGAGGAGGAGGAGGAGAAGAAGAAGAAGAAGAAGAAGAAGAAGAAGAAGAAGAAGGCATCTTCGGACGTTTTTGATGTCAAGTTTAGTGACGCGAAGATGGCAACTTCATTTGTGAAGCATGACAACTTTCTTTTTCGGATGGCAAGGTTTAGTTTTTTTATTTGTTTTTCTTTCCGGATGGCAACTTTAGTTGTAAAAAATGTCAGGGTCGGATTATTTCGTGCCACACGTATGACACTTATTATTTGGGTAGTTTACTTTTTTTTACCTAAATGAATCATTATCCAACAGGGGATCTGTTGTTGTTTTTACATATTTGCTTCTTGTTTTGGTAAACGTAAGCACAACAGTACCCTATATCGCAGCCCATTTCCGATCCATTTCACTCTAATTTTTTTTTGAGAACACAATACAGACGCGGGTGCTCATTTATAGCATACACTCATTTATATGAACACACGCGCAGACCCTACTCCTATAAGCACCCTGAGAGACTGAGCTATCATATCATCTTAAGATTGACGAAGTCACCACAGGCACCTTGTAATCGACGTGAACATCTCCTTGTAATGAATTCGCATTGCCGGATATTCTGAAAATAAAACCAAGAATAATGCAAGCACTAAAATTTGAACACTGATGGGTCAGGGATAACACTGTCCTCCTAACCATCCAATCACAGGTTGGTTGGAATTTTCACTCCTACTAATAGAATGTCCGTGCGTTGCCACAGGCTTTTCAAATATTTTAGGGAGTTATGTAAACAATTATTATGTACAATTTCACATGTGGAGAAAAGATAGTACGATCACAATCGTATAAGAGTTTAAACCACTCCCCTTGCAACGTAAATTGATAACAAAAAGGCAATTTGACAATGAATACAATATAGAATGATGATCCAATTAAAAATTGGTTACAAATTAAGATCTATTTGATGCTCTAAGAAATTATTGCACAATATCAGAAATGTTGACTTTATTCATTGGCACAATATTTGAGCAAGTATAATAAAAATGTCTTCCTCAACTCATACATGTCATGCACAAGCAATATATGCAGTTGGCACGAATAATTCACGTCGAAGGTCTTAAAATGTACTCCCTCCGTCCCAAAATTCTTGTCTTAGATTAGTCTAAATACGGATATATCTAATACCAAAATGTGACTTGATACATCCGTATTTAGACAAATCTAAGACAAAATTTTTGGGACGGAGGGAGTATAACAGAGAATACTCGTCGTACAAATTGGGTTTACTAATTCTTTACCATTCCACGTGAGCATAAAAAAGGAGCCAGACAAATCTCTCCAATTTTGTAAATTAATGTTATCTCGAATATACTGATAATACAAATAAAATGTATTAGTATGGTCGCAATGCATGGAAATTCGAAAGGAGTGCCTAAGCGAACTAAAAAGAAATTTATGTTTTAGTCAAACTCGCTTGCCGCTGTTCTTTCTCCAAATGTTTTCCTTCTTTCTTCATCCGTTGATCCAACCACCTCCACTACACCCCACCTGAGAGTATCTACATCCCGAGCACCCCAAACTGCCCTTATAAGACTGGTTGCATGGCTCGGTCACTAACGGGTCAAAAAAAACGACGCTGCCCGATGCCTCATAACAACCCTATATGCCTGGCAGTCCCGCATCCATCATATCCAACCCAAATCTGGGGAAAATATAGGGAGGCCTGGGCGCACCCAGACGTGTACACCACATCAGCCCAGTCCACATTGGCCCACACCGACTCCACTCCGTCCCACTAAATTCCCCTCCCGGAACAAATCCTAGTTTCACTTCACTTTCGATCCACACTCCATTGATTCCCCTCCACCATGTACATCCCGTTGTCCTTCCTAATGTCGAGCATCGGCGGTATTGGAGGCGACAGATCTGCCAAAGAGGACGATTGGGAACGCCTTCATTCGCGAGACGGAGGGCGACATGGGCGGCAGCTCAGGCTCAACTCCACCACCTGTTACCCGCCATTTTAGCGTGGATGCCAGCACGGGCCCGTTCGGCACCGCGCAGAGCTTCACGCGCTCATCCAGCTCCACGTCATTGGACCGCCGCCCTCCCAATCCTCATCTCCATAGCTCCTAAAGATTATCAGTGGGTGCTCGTTGCGGATGTCCGAAAAAGAGGCACCAGCAGCCCGCCGCGAGAGGCAACGTGCAAGGAAGAGGCCGCCGGCATAGGAGGCGGTCGCATAGTCCTCTCGATGTCGTCGTCGATTGTCAGTGATGACCGATGAAGAGTAGCTCCTCACAGATATCTACAAACAGCTCCCTGCTGATGGCAGAGATAGACGCCTGCCGGATCCATCGAAAGAACGCAAAGGCCCTCCGCCTCGAGCTTGAGCAGTCGGTGTGCGAGGCGAAGAAGAGGGCGGTAGCGGATGCGAAAGCGGCGAAGCTCGTGAGGCAGCAAAACCGCGTCGTTCGAAGGATGGTTGGCTAGATTGACTCCCCCAATATCATCGACGGCTGCGAGGCCCCCCTCTCCTACCACGGACTTCATTGACGGCTACATCCGTAGCAACGAGGAAGTGGCAAAGAAATGTGTCCTTCTCTTTGACTTTGTTACAATTTTTAGTAACATTTGTTTAGAACTATGTTCATCGGCTAACTGTGGTGCTCTTTTGATCTATGTCAGATTATGTGGAGATCTATGTCCCGATTATGTAGATTTATATGTCTGTTTGTTTCATTGATGGTCAAAGTAGTTTGTTTCATGTTGCATGCATAGTATGGATTTGGGGTATCATATATGAAGATTGAGGCTATGGATGCGATGATTCGAGGAGTGACCTGTCATTGTCCAGGACACGCCCACAGACGTATAGCGTGCCTAATTTGATGACCCCTGCAACCCATAGTTGAACCCACCAACCCCCTGCATTGCTTCTCCTCCACTCGGCATTTCCAGACTCTTCTTGATAAATGTTGATCCCGTTAATCATTGATGGTTTTAATTGAAGAGCTAAAGATGCAAAGTTCACGAACTAATCTTTCCTCAAGATGTCTTGAACCAAGTATCAAGAGCACTCATAATTGTAAATGTATGTTATACTATATCAATGCCAACATCGTCCTTCAGAACATTGGGAAGAACAAAATACATATTTGATCCTTTTAGAAGAAATGAAAAAGATTACAAAATATATGTCCCATGTAGTCAAGAACTGCAAATTTTGAATAAGCTTGTGCTTGTACTCATCTTTCACTGCTATATGATGAGCCATAATAACTAACCATCCTCCATCACCTCTTGCAAATCTCTGAACCTCCCATCCTTGATGCGCTAAACTGACTTTCAA